CTCTCCCCCCTCCTCACAACCTCCCAGGGTACTGGAGGTGGCCGTGACAAAGAATGTTGCGAGTGACAGATTCTCTCCGTTGATACTAAGAGAGGGAGCAGGTCCTCTGTGTGGGCCACTTTCCCAAGTGTTTAACAGGTCGCCGGAAACAGGAGACCTACCAAACAGTTGAAAGACGGCAAACATTGTTCCAAAATACGGAAAAGGCGACAGGCAGGAGGTTACAGGCCGGTGTTCCTGCCTTGTATACCATGTAAGGTGTTGGAAGTCGTGAGAAGAAAAATCTTGGAGTACCTAGGGGCCACGAAAGCCTGGTGGATAGCGCGCAGGACTCGTAATTCTGTGGCTCGGGTTCGATTCCCGCACGAGGCAGAAACAAATGGGCAAAGTTTCTTTCACCCTGAATGCACCTGTTACCTAGCAGTAAATAGGTACTCGGGAGTTAGTCAGCTGTCACGGGCTGCTTCCTGGGGGTGGAGGCCTGGTCGAGGACCGGGCCGCGGGGACACTAAAAAGCCCCAAAATCATCTCAAGATAACCTCAAGATAACCTATGAAGAGAAGAGACTTCGTAACACACCACCAACACGGGTTCAGGGATGGTAAATCTTGTCTCAAAGGACGCAATAGATTTCTATATCTAGGCCATAATAACAAATAAACAAGAAAGATAATTATGGGCAGACTGCATTTTCTTGGACTGTCAGAAAGCCTTTGACATGGTACTCCATGAGAGACTGGTGCAAAAGTTGGAGAACAGGCAGAAGTTACAGGTAAGGTGCTCAAATGGATAAGGGAGTACCTAACCAACAGGAACCAGTGTTACCGTGAGGGGTGAGGTTATCTTGAGGTTATCTTGAGATGATTTTGGGGCTTTAGTGTCCCCGCGGCCCGGTCCTCGACCAGGTCTCCACCCCCAGGAAGCAGCCCGTGACAGCTGACTAACTCCCAGGTACCGATTTACTGCTAGGTAACAGGGGCATTCAGGGTGAAAGAAACTTTGCCCATTTGTTTCTGCCTCGTGCCGGAATCGAACCCGCGCCACAGAATTACGAGTCCTGCGCGCTATCCACCAGGCTACGAAGCCCCTGAGACCTCGTAGGTGAGGTGAGGTGAGGGGTGAGACCTCAAAATGCCGAGATGTCACCAGCATAGTCCCACAGGGCTCTGTTTTTGGAGCTATCCAGTTTCTGATATATGTAAACAGTATCTCACAGGGTATGTATAGCCTCCTCGCAATGTTTGCTAATGGAAACATGATTAAGACAGGCAAATGACAACTACAAGATGAACTGGATGATATGACCGAGCCCAATAGGCTCCGGAACTTGTACAGCAGTTGACTGATAATTGAGAAGTGGGACCAAGGAACCGAACGCCAACCCCGGCAAGCACAACTAGGCGCGCGCGCGCACACACACACACACACACACACACACACACACACACACACACACACACACACACACACACACACACACACACACACACACACACACACACACACACACACGCGCACGCGCACGCGCACACGCACACGCACGCGCGCGCGCGCGAGCTCGTGCAGCTGTGGACCAGATGGCAGGACACACATGGCGCAGCTGATTCAGGAGGACGGCTGTCTTTACTCTATCACACTCGCCCGCGGCCGGCCTCCCTCACACACACACACACACACACACACACACACACACACACACACACACACACACACACACACACACACACACACACACACACACACACACACACGCGCGCGCGCACACGCACTGAGGCAGGGAGGCAGGGAGGCACCCTCCTCCTCAGGCAGGGTATACACTATATGATCATGTCCCGCTGCTGCTGGTGATCTATTCTCTCGTCTCTCTCCTCCGCTGTGACGTCATTTTCCGCCTGCCTCTAATTTTTGCGTCTAATTCTATGTCTTCATCCCTAAACCCTCCCCTTGGGGCCCTTCCTCTTAGCTCGGTCCCCTTCGCTCAGGAACCGGCATTATTACAAGCTCGTATTTCCCTGCGTGTTTATACGCGAGGATTCAGTGCCAGAGCTGCATACTCAAGATGGGGTCTCACGGAGGTTGCATAGTCTACAGGGTTGGGAAAACCCCTAAGGTAAATATCAGGAGAAAGCGCTAGGCTAATGCGACTATACAGCTCTTGGGAAAAAATGAATATGAGGGTTTGGGATGGGACGTACGGAAGGGAATGGTGCCCACCCACTTGGTCGGGGATTGAACGCCGACCTGCATGGCGCGAGACGGTCGCTCTACCGTGCAGCCCAAGTGGTTTGGCGCTGAGGACGCAGGTGTGGCACTGTGGAGGCAGGTGTGGCACTGGGCATCACCAGACTTCTCCCCCCCCCCACAACACTCACGGGTCAAAGGTCAACAAGTATGGTGACGGCGTCTCCCGAGAACGGCCATGACACCTGTGTTATGTGCATGCTGGCGGGGGTTGAGCTTCGGCTCCCTGGCCCCCGACCTGTGCTCCGCCATGGGTCCCGTTGAGTCCCCGTCACTAGCTCAGCAACACAACACAACACAACGAGCCTTGTTCCCTGCTCCACTACACAGGTGTTGTCGCTGACCTCATCTTCAGGTGTGTGTGTGTGTGTATACCTGAGCTTATACACACCTGAGTACCATATTGTCATCCCCTCACGGTCTCCTAGCTGTCACCCCCGTCACGGTCTCCTAGCTGTCACCCCCTCATGGTCTCCTAGCTGTCACCCCTTTCATGGTCTCCTAGCTGTCACCTCCTCATGGTCTCCTAGCTGTCACCTCCTCATGGTCTCCTAGCTGTCACCTCCTCATGGTCTCCTAGCTGTCACCCCCGTCACGGTCTCCTAGCTGTCACCCCCTCATGGTCTCCTAGCTGTCACCCCCGTCACGGTCTCCTAGCTGTCACCCCCTCATGGTCTACTAGCTGTCACCCCCTCATGGTCTCCTAGCTGTCACCCCTTTCATGGTCTCCTAGCTGTCACCTCCTCATGGTCTCCTAGCTGTCACCCTTCTCACGGTCTCCTAGCTGTCACCCTCTTCAGGGTCTCCTAGCTGTCACCCCCTCACGGTCTCCTAGCTGTCACCCCCTTTCACGGTCTCCTAGCTGTCACCCCTTTCACGGTCCCCTAGCTGTCACCCCCTCACGGTCTCCTAGCTGTCACCCCTTTCACGGTCCCCTAGCTGTCACCCCCCTCACGGTCTCCTAGCTGTCACCCCCCTCACGGTCTCCTAGCTGTCACCCCCCTCACGGTCTCCTAGCTGTCACCCCCTTTCACGGTCTCCTAGCTGTCACCCCTTTCACGGTCTCCTAGCTGTCACCGCCCACACGGCCTCCTAGCTGTCACCCCACCTCGCGGCCTCCTAGCTGTCACCCCTCCCTCACGGTCTCCTAGCTGTCACCCCCGTCACGGTCTCTTAGCTGTCACCCCCCACCCTCACGGTCTCCTAGCTGTCACCCCCCTCACTCTCACCTAGCTGTCACCCTCTTCAGGGTCTCCTAGCTGTCACCCTCTTCAGGGTCTCCTAGCTGTCACCCTCTTCAGGGTCTCCTAGCTGTCACCCTCTTCAGGGTCTCCTAGCTGTCACCCTCTTCAGGGTCTCCTAGCTGTCACCCCCTCACGGTCTCCTAGCTGTCACCCCCTTTCACGGTCTCCTAGCTGTCACCCTCTTCAGGGTCTCCTAGCTGTCACCCTCTTCAGGGTCTCCTAGCTGTCACCCTCTTCAGGGTCTCCTAGCTGTCACCCCCTCACGGTCTCCTAGCTGTCACCCCCCCTCACGGTCTCCTAGCTGTCACCCCCTTTCACGGTCTCCTAGCTGTCACCCCTTTCACGGTCTCCTAGCTGTCACCCCCGTCACGGTCTCCTAGCTGTCACCCCCCCTCACGGTCTCCTAGCTGTCACCCCCCTCACTCTCACCTAGCTGTCACCCTTCTCACGGTCTCCTAGCTGTCACCCTCTTCAGGGTCTCCTAGCTGTCACCCTCTTCAGGGTCTCCTAGCTGTCACCCCCTTTCACGGTCTCCTAGCTGTCACCCCCTTTCACGGTCTCCTAGCTGTCACCCCCTTTAACGGTCTTCTAGCTGTCACCCCTTTCACGGTCTCCTAGCTGTCACCGCCCTCACGGCCTCCTAGCTGTCACCCCACCTCGCGGCCTCCTAGCTGTCACCCCCCCCCCTCACGGTCTCCTAGCTGTCACCCCCCTCACTCTCACCTAGCTGTCACCCCCCCTCACTCTCACCTAGCTGTCACCCCCCCTCACGGTCTCCTAGCTGTCACCCCCTCACGGTCTCCTAGCTGTCACCCCGTCACTAGCAGCAGCAGCTGGGGATCCACCCGACATACCCGGCCCACTGACAGCACCCAGACAACACCCCTGGCCTGAGGGGTGAGCTGACAGCAGATATTGCGCATTTCTCTGATATTGGTCTCTCACCTCCCCTCTCCTCCTCCTCCTCTCATTCCCCTCACTACGGTTTCACCAGCCAGGTGGGAAGGTAGGAGGGGGAAGGGGGGGTAGTATCGTGGCGTCCGGACCAGCCTTTATAATTAATCTTACAGTTGCTATAGCACGCGGCCAGCCCCTCGAAGACGTAGCTTCAGCGCTTCTGAGAGAGATAGAGATAGAGAGGTAGATATAGATAGAGAGGGAGAGAGGTAGGTGGCATCAGAAGCTCATTTCGGGTGTGTTATTACAGACGATTTCATCACAACAATCCTCCATCCTGGGGTTGTTGTGACTCTAATAAACGTCGTTTTCTATTAGTGTGGCGGCGACGACGAAGGGGGTACTCGCCTGCCGGGAGACGTCCACAGCAACTGTCGCCGCTTCTGCACGTGACAGCTGCTGCACGTGGCAGCTGCTCCGTCACTACTCACACGTGCAGCACAGGCCAGAGGAAGGCGCTCTGGAGGGGGTGGGAGGTGGGGGGGAGGGAGAGACGGACGAGGGGAGCAAAGAGGGGAACGGAAAGACAAAGAAATAATTTCAATATCGCTGTTGTCATCACTGGATGGGCGACTGCACATTCCGGTCACACGAACATAACTCCGCTGCCTCTCGCACCGCCACAGTGCCTCTCGCACCGCCCCGGTGCCTCTCGCACCGCCACAGTGCCTCTCGCACCGCCCCGGTGCCTCTCGCACCGCCCCGGTGCCTCTCGCACCGCCCCGGTGCCTCTCGCACCGCCCCGGTGCCTCTCGCACCGCCCCGGTGCCTCTCGCACCGCCCCGGTGCCTCTCGCACCGCCCCGGTGCCTCTCGCACCGCCCCGGTGCCTCTCGCACCGCCCCGGTGCCTCTCGCACCGCCCCGGTGCCTCTCGCACCGCCCCGGTGCCTCTCGCACCGCCCCGGTGCCTCTCGCACCGCCCCGGTGCCTCTCGCACCGCCCCGGTGCCTCTCGCACCGCCCCGGTGCCTCTCGCACCGCCCCGGTGCCTCTCGCACCGCCCCGGTGCCTCTCGCACCGCCCCGGTGCCTCTCGCACCGCCCCGGTGCCTCTCCTGCAGGAGTAATGAGATAACAATAGTACCTGGCAGCCAAAGTGAACTTGGCACCGAGAACGTACTGGGGTGAAGGGTACCAGGATAAGGGTACCGGGGTGTGACGGCACCGGGGAACTTCAAAACATTACCCAGGAACGGTTAGATAATTTGGAGGCGATTAGATCACGTACCACCACCTACGTGAGACCAGTTTCAGAGTATGCAGCCCCCTCCCCCATCGTGGAGCACCCATCTAAACACACACATCAGGAAACTTGAAAAGGTTCAGAGTTTGCAACGAGGGTTGTTAATAAAAAATTGCGAGGAATTGGGGGTAGGAAGAGAGACTGAAGGAACTAAACCTGACGATGCTAAGAAAAAGAGAAGGGGAGGACATGATAGAGATGTAAGAAATAGGGGGATTGACGGAGTGGGAAAAAGATGAGATGTTCGCCATGATTACCAATAGAAAACGAGGGTATGGATGCCACCTTTGAGACAAAAAGCGACAGTAAGACTTGACATGGATGGAATTTTTTTTAACCGAGAGAAAAATGAAGGCGGTCATGAATGTATCAGACTGGGTAAATGTTGTTATGGGAGTACCATAGTAATGTGGTGGCACCAGTAATGTTAATTGTCTTTATAAACGACCTTTCAGAAGGAATCCAAAATTATATGAATGATCCACCAGAAGGAATCCAACATTGCCAAGCCCTACATAAAGACCGGGCCAAAATAAGTGAATGGAGCAACACTTGGCAAATGGAATTGAATGCGAATAAACGCCACATTATGGCACGTGGATATATGAGATAATATGCCTCACATAACCTACAAATTATGTGAAAAATCATGAAAGAATTTTTGATAGAGATTTTGGGAGCCGGTCGGCCGAGCGGACAGCACACTGGACTTGTGATCCTGTGGTCCGGGGTTCGATCCCGGGCGCCGGTGAGAAACAATGGGCAGAGTTTCTTTCACCCTGTGCCCCTGTTACCTAGCAGTAAAATAGGTACCTGGGTGTTAGTCAGCTGTCACGGGCTGCTTCCTGGGGGTGGAGGCCTGGTCGAGGACCGGGCCTCGGGGACACTAAAGCCCCGAAATCATCTCAAGATAACCTCAAGATCTTGGGAGGGGGGGGGGGTATCTGCTTGAAACCTGTCACCTGAGGACCACACAAGACCATACAAAGAACATTGTGAGGGAGGAGCCTCTGCTACTCCTTCCAGCTTCAGAATCATCGCTTTTAAATGCCATGGACTGTGAAAATATTACAGATGTTATTCACGACCTATGTGAGACCAAAGATTGAATGTGCAGCAGTTGTATCCCTGGAAACACAAACAGAAACTGTCTCTATTTTCCGCTTGTTACAACTTGTAATAAAGTTATTACATCTTGGCTTAACGTGTTTATGACGTATTAGAACGATGTTACAACTTGCTATATTGGTTGTTATAACTGGTTAGGAAGGGTTAAAACTTGTTCGAACGTTGTACCAACGTCGTAGTTTCGATGTGTGTTTGGTGGGATGGTGCCCATGTATTAAGTGCATCAGTAAACTGGAAACAAATACAAAGATATGCAACCAAATTGTTTTCGGAATTGAAAAAAAAACAAGAGCTAGAAGAAGTAGAGGTGATATGATCCCTACGTTCAAAGTAGTACAGGAATCGACGAAATTTACAGAGAAGAATGTAAAAAACGGCAACTTCAAGAAAAAGAGGACGTACGTTCGAACTAAGGAAACAAAATTGCCGACAAAAAAAAATAAAAATAGAACGTTCCCCTTTACGAAGTGGTAGACGGAACAAGTTGAGTGAGGTGGTAGTCAAAACCGTCAGGAATTTCAAAATGCCATATTGACAGAGACGGGAGACGGGAAGACGGGACACCACGAGCATAACTCTCATCCTGTAACTACACTTGGGGTAATTACACACACACACACACACACACACACACACACACACACACACACACACACACACACACACACACACACACACACACACACACACACACACACACACACACACACACACACACACACACACACACACACACACACACACACACACACACACACACACACAGTCAAAGAATCATATTTTAGGGGGGCCTGGTAGCCTGGTGGATAGCGCGCAGGACTCGTAATTCTGTGGCGCGGGTTCGATTCCCGCACCTGGCAAAAACAAATGGGCAAAGTTTCTTTCACCCTGAATGCCCCTTGTTACCTAGCAGTAAATAGGTACCTGGAAGTTCGTCAGCTGTCACGGGCTGCTTCCTGGTGTGTGTGGTGTGGAAAAAATAGTAGTTAGTAAACGGTTGATTGACAGTTGAGAGGCGGGCCAAAAGAGCAAAGCTCAACCCCCCGCAAACACAACTAGGTGAATATACACACACACACACACACACACACATGTATATGTTAACGACATGTTTACAGGCGTAGAGTCCTACATGTCGATGTTCGCGGATGACACAAAGTTGATGAGAAGAGTTGTGACAGATGAGGATTGCAGGATCCTCCAAGAGGACCTGAACAGGTTGTAGAGATGGTCAGAGAAATGGCTACTGGAATTCAACACGAGCAAATGTAAAGTTATGGAAATGGGACTAGGAGATAGGAGACCAAAGGGACAGTACACAATGAAGGGGGACAGCCTACCTGTAGCGACGCGTGAAAGAGACCTGGGTGTGGACGTAACACCTTATCTATCTCCTGAGGTACATATAAATAGGATAACGACAGCAGCGTACTCTACACTGGCAAAAGTTAGAACATCATTCAGAAACCTAAGTAAGGAGGCATTTAGGGCGCTTTACACTGCCTACGTAAGGCCAGTCTTAGAGTATGCCGCCTCATCATGGAGTCCCCATCTAAAGAATCATATAATGAAACTGGAAAAGGTTCAGAGGTTTGCAACGAGACTCGTCCCAGAGCTACGAGGGATGGGGTATGAGGAGCGCCTGAGGGAACTGTGTCTTACGACACTAGAAAGAAGAAGGGAGAGGGGGACATGATAGGAACGTATAAAATACTCAGGGGGATTGACAGAGTGGACATAGACGAAATGTTCACACGGAATAGTAACAGAACGAGGGGACATGGATGGAAGCTTGAAACTCAGATGAGTCACAGAGATGTTAGGAAGTTTTCTTTTAGCGTGAGAGTAGTGGAAAAATGGAATGCACTTCAGGAACAGATTGTGGAAGCAAATACTATTCATAATTTTAAAACCAGGTATGATAGGGAAATGGGACAGGAGTCATTGCTGTAAACAACCGATGCTCGAAAGGCGGGATCCAAGAGTCAATGCTCGATCCTGCTGACACAACTAGGTGAGTACAACTAGGTGAGTACACACACACACACACGTTAAACACATACACGACAAGGAAATCTTCAAAGAAATGAATGTTCCACTCTTAAGGACTGAGCCGGAACCTCTGCCAGGGGTAACTGAGGAAGTAATAGAGAGAGAGAGAGCCACTGAGGTACTGCTAGAGGAAGTCCAGAGACTACGGGAGGTACATGAACCAACACGTTGTGGTGGACACAACACACCATCATATACGCTTAAAGAAGCTGAAACACCATGAAGACTATGGTGCTTCACACCCCCCTCTCTCCCCCCCACCCCACCCCACCCCCCCTGCCTCACTATACCTCATAACTCCGGTATAATCTATCAAGAGTCGACGCCCGGGTCGCCAGCGCCGGCCGGCCGGCTGCCTGACCAGATGTAGAGTCCGTTGCTGGCGCCGGGCAGGTGGTCCGTGCCCCCCTGCCCGCTCCCAGGACACCATTGGCAGGGTGGGGAAACAGGTGGGCAAACCCCCCCCCCCCCCCAACCCATGCACAGTAGCACAGGCGGTCACTCCTGCACGTTGTGGTCGGGGGGGGGGGGGGTGAGGGGGTCATGGGTGAAGTCAACAGTTGGAGAGACCCCCCCCCCAGCAGCTGGGGCGGGGCGGGGGGGGGGGGGGTTATGGGTATGGGAACGGTGGGCGGGGCCAGCTTTGGGGGGGGGGGGGTTCTTGCTTCAGGGAAAAAAAGTGATGGGCGCCAAGCTGTTCCAGCCTATACCAGCTTGCCTAATTGTGCTTCCTTAATAGTCTTATTTTTATTTGATTTTTTTTACTATTTTCTACCACAGACGTGGCCACACATTTACAATGCTAACCAGCATATATACATTTTCTTCTGTCCTCCATGGACAGGGTTAGAGATGTGTTAAACATATAGTTCAGGTGTTTATTGAACAATCAACCACAGAAGGTGATTCGGTGCTTTTAAAATGCTAAGCTAACCTACATAGATACACAGATTTACATAGATACACAGATTTACGTATGCCCTACATAAAGTGTTTGATGCGTCTTTTACATAGTGTCATTAATGTACATTCACAAAGGTGAAATGTAATTCTGATCAGCTTCCATATACTTTATACACATACACACACACACATATACGTACATATACATATATACATACATATATACACACACATGAATTTACATACATTTGTCTCTTTTACACTGACAGGGTGAGATAGCTGATAGAGAAACTAGTGTGCAATTAAGCACTTAATCACTGAAGGTGATGAAGGTGCTTTTACAAGCTCAGGTTATTTACTTACATTACATACATACATTGTATAATTGATACATTATATGGTCAATCTTGAGTACAAGTCCAATATATCAAGTGTTCCAGTACTCGTATAGTAATTACACAGTTCAGCATACCTTAGCTCAGGAGGGCGAAAGTCAGTCAGTATGGGACATTCTACAATATAATAATACAAGAGAGTGCATGTTTACTCTTTCACAAAGTTGACACATTGTGTACTCGACATTTGGGTTTTGAGAAAGCTGCCAGATACGTCTATATCCCAGGCGTATTCTGGCCACTATAACATCACATTGCCGGGTTCTTGTTCTATTAGTCCCATATGTGAATGTCTCCTCACGATATCTATAATAATATTTAATGCTACAACTTTCAGGTCTTTGTGAATTTGTTAGGTCGGTGAGATCTTCATTAGATATTTGTTTAAGTATTTTCTTTGTCACTGCTAATGAAACACCCATATCAATTTCTACCACTGGTTTTCTACAGGCTGTCTTTGCAAGCATATCAACAGTGTCATGCCTTGAGATGCCAACATGTGATGGTATCTATAGGAATTTAATTTCAAATCTGTTTTCTTTAGCAGCTAAAACA